ACACTTGTTTCCTATTGTTGGTTTTGCACACTTGTTTCCTATTGTTGCCACTGTAACTGTACTGTTTTCAGTTTGGCAACGTGGTGCAGTCTCAGCTTGTGGAACACAGAAACAACAAGTGGCATCAGCACATAGTGGTGGTTATCAATTCCACTCTGCATTTCCCGGATGCGCTCACCTTGACCAAACACATCCTCAACTCCAACATCAGCCCGTACAAACTGATTGATATAGGACAAATTGACAGCTTGCCTGGACACAGACTGGCGAATGAAACTCTCAGCTGATCTGATTACCCTCAAATTCCCCTCAGATGGAACCATTAGCCCCCCTTTGTTTTTTAGATGGAGTAAGTTGTAGCTCTGATCAAGTGATGCAGGTACAGCATCAGTAACCAAGCTACCACGGCACACATCACACAACAGCTTCTTTAAAATTTGCCGAACCACAAACCCCGAGATGTAGACAAAGGCCTCTGAAGTTTGTTAATTACGTAGCCAGCTGAGTTCCTGGCCTTGTTTTCATTGGTGAAGGCAAGTGTTCGTGCCTTCTCCCCAGTCATTTTCACCAACCTCATAAAACGGTTAGACCAAGCTAGCGGTACTAGCCTCTCTGAGTTCTGGCCTTGTTTTAATTGGTGAAGGCAAGCATTCGTACCCCCTCTCCCAATTATCCTCTTTTACCAGCTGAGCTAGCGGCGTTAGCCTGTCTGAGTTTCTTTGCCTTAATTGATGACGGCAAGCATGCGCACCCCCTCTCCCAATTCTCGGCCTATCCTTTCATCCTTGTTGTCGTCCTGTATCCTGGACGTAGCTGGCGGTGGCAGCCCCTTTGCTGGGTTGCAGTTTTTTACTTTGATTGTTTGAGTAAACTGCCTAAAGTAAGGAGCATGGATGGCTCTCACTGCTGTACAGATTGTGGGGCCGTGCTCCAGGCAGATGACGGTCACGACCTGTGTCCTGCCTGCTTTGGACATGACCATCTGGTGGAGGCCCTGTCAGAGAACCCCTGCAGGAACTGCAGCTTCATGCCTTGTGCTATGAGGGTGGCTCGGCTGGCCCAGTTTCACTCTGAACTCGGCAGTGACCTCCCGCTTTCTGGGCAGGAGGCCCCACCTAGACGCTCGAAGCGCCGGTCTGAGGTCGCAGTCTCTGTGGCCCCTCCTAGGAAGAGGCAAGCCAAGTCTGATCAGGGCCTCTCCACGAGGGTGGAGCAGCTGTCTGCAGAATTGGCAGCGATTAAGTCCCTTTTTCAGGCACGCCAACTGGTGGCTGAGCCAGTGGCAGCAACCAGACTTTCCTCCCCACCCATGCCTGAGCTGGCTGCAGAGGAAGATGTGTTATCCTTGGCTGCCTCTGCCTCTCACTTTTTAGGTGAGGAGAAGGGGCAGCCATCTCAAGTCTCAGAAACTGGTTCACTTTCGTTGTCTCAGAGCACAGCTAGTGGGTCAGGTGACGGCTCGGTGAAGGACGTCACGCGTATGGCCCTGAGACAACTGTAGCTGGACGTCCCACAACCAGAGGAGTCCACCCCTGGAAGTGCCTTCTTCAGGCGCAGACGGGCCCCTCCTTCCTTTTCCATCCCTCCATCGAAGGAGTACCTGAGGGAGTTGCATGGTTTCTGGTGGGACCCAAAAAAGTCTTTGCGCACCTCTCCATGGATGGCTGAGTGTTGGCGACTATGCATGAGCCAGCTGCAGTGGGCTTGGAGATCGAACCTGCTGTTGCCTCGCTCATCGTGTCACCAGAAGAAGCTCTGCGCAGTGATGTTCGGTGCCCACGAGCTCAGTGTTGCGTCATGGATGGATTCCTCTGCAGAGCTTATTATGCTGGAGCATGTGCTGGCCACCTCAGCAATTCCATGGCACACCTCATGTTTGCCCTCTCCGTGTCCCTTCAGAGTACTAGTGGTACAACAGCAGCAATGGGCTTTAGTGATGCAGCACTTCAGGCCTTTGCACTGATGATGAGGGAACTTGGGCGCGTGATGTCCTTCTTGGTCCAGGCTCGCCAACAGGTCTGGTTGGCGCAGTCAACATTGACCGAGCCATGTCGCAGAATCCACCGTAATGTCCTGGTGGTGCTGGGGGAGTTGTTCGGTTCGGCTGCCTTGGAAGAGCTGGAACGGACCATCCAGGCACGACAGGCAAGGCAGCAGCTTTTGAGCCTTAGCAGGGCAATGCCTCCTCCACCTATTCGGCATCCAAGGTGCCCATAGGCTGACCCCAGCATTCGGCCGCCACGCCGGGGTCATAATCGGCAGGTCTTTACCCTCGTGCAGTTCAGTAGAGACCCAACAGGAGCTTTTGTGAGTCGGTCCACCAACCAGCTGGGCAGGTTCGGACCGGAAACTCTGGCCGCTGCCCCCCCCCCCCCCCCGGCCCCTAGGGGCCGTGGAGGGAGACGTGATGCCACCAGACCGACCATTGGATATCTCTCCCACCAGCAGCTTGGTTACTGGGCTGCTCATGCCATGGACTCAAGGGTGGTTGCCACGCTGACCCATGGTTACCCACTACAGTTCTGACTGCAGCCTCACATCTCACGCCGGGTCAAGATGACTGTAATCGCTGTCCCGTTGAAAGCTCGAGCACTAGACCAGGAGCTTTCCACCCTCCTGGCCAAGGGTGCAGCAGAGGTCCTTCAAGCTGTCACAAGTGGAGAACGGTTCATGTCTGTAGACCTGAAAGATGCTTATTTTCATGTGCCTATTGCAGCAGAACATCACCGCTTTCTCAGGTTTGCCTATCGGGGTCACCACTGGCAGTTCTGGGTACTCCCATTTGGGCTCTCTCTCTCCCTGAGGGTGTTCACTCATTGCGTGAAGGCAGCCCTCTCCCCTCTGTAGGCCTATGGAGTGAAGGTTCTGCCGTACTTAGACGATTGGTGTCTCTGCACCCCGTCTCGGGCCTGTGCCTTTCGCGACACGAATCGCCTGCTCGCTCATGTGGCCCAGTTGGGCCTCAATGTCAACCTGGAGAAGAGCTGTCTGAACCCTTCTCAGACAATCACCTTTCTTGAGGTGGTTCTGGATTTACCCTCCATGAGAGCTTGCCCATCCGCTCAAAGATGGGCGGCATACTCCAGCTGGTCAGTCGGATCAGGCTGGGCAGGCAGCTCCCCTACATTGCCTTCCTGCAGCTACTAGGCAAGCTTATGTCAGGCACTTGGGTGGTGCCCTTAGGCCTGCTGTCACTTTGCCCCTTGCAGAGGTGGCTCAACAGCTTTCGCCTGGATGCCAGGCTGCACAGGCATCGCAAGCTCACAGTGATGTGGTCTTGTCCTCATGCCTTGACTCCATGGAGGGACGAAAAATTTTTGTCCAGGGGTGTCCCCATGATAGTGGTAGTGTGTCGTAGGGAAGTGGTCACAACAGATGCCAGCTCCATGGGATGGGGCGCTGTGTGGCAATGCAGAGTGGTTCAGGGCCGCTGGGGTCAAAAGGACCGCTCCAAGCATATGAATGTGCTGGAGCTGCGTGCAGTGCATTTGGCACTCAGGTACTTCCTGCCCCACCTGGAAGGGGGGCATGTTCTCGGTTGGTCAGACAACACCTCTGTTGTCTACCACATCAACCACCAGGGGGGCACCAGGTCAGCACAACTTCTGAGAGCATCAAGAGAGCTCTTGGAATGGGCCTCTCTTTGCCTGTCCACCCTGCGGGTGGCATACTTACCAGGGCGAAAGAATCAGGTTGCAGATTTTCTCTCCCGCCAGGGGTCTGCTCTGGGAGAGTGGTCCCTCCACAGCGACATAGTGCTGATGATCTGGGACTGTTTTGGTCAGGCAGACGTAGACCTGTTTGCAACAGAAGAGTTGACTCAGGGTGGCTGTGGCTGAGTGGTTAGAGCAGTCGTCCCCCATTGCAAGAGTTTGGGGTTCGAATCCACCAGCAGCCACATGCTGAAGTGTCCCTGGGCAAGACAATTAACCCCTTGTTGCCTCTTCTGAAGTCCACAACCATCTCCTTTGTCTTCTTCACATTGATGTGAAGGTTATTCTTCCTGCACCAGCTCTCCAGGTTTTCCACCTCCTGCCTGTACTTGGACTCGTTGTTTGTGATACATCCCACCACCACTGTATCGTCTGCAAACTTTACAATATGGCAACCTGGATAGGTAGATGCACAGTCATACGTGAGCAGATTGAACAGGAGAGTACTCTGCACACAGCCCTGAGGGTAGCCAGTACTGAGGGTTATGGTGGAGGAAGAGAATTGTGGATCCTCACTGACTGCGGTCTGTTTGTTAAAAAGTCTAGGACCCAGTTGCAAATGGAGGGGCTTAGTCCTAGTGTGAGTAGTTTGTCCATCAGGGTTTGGGGGATCATGGTGTTGAAGACAAGCATGAAGTCCACAAAGAGCATACTGACATAGGAGTCCTTCTGCTCCAGGTGGGTGAGAGCAGTGTGGACCACAGAGGAGATGGGTGTTTTCTGTTGATCGATTCTCGTGGTATGTGTACTGGTGAGGATCCTTGTTAATGCTGATGGTTGTTCTGATGTAGGTTATGACCAGTTTTTTTCAGCATTTAGTGACTACTGGTGTGAGGGCTACTGGTCAGTAGTCATTCAGACCAGTCACTGTAGAGCTCTTTTGGACTGGAATGATGGTTGCGGTCTTAAGGCAGGTTGGAACTGTTGCCAGGGTAAGTGAGGAGATAAAGATGTCAGCCAGCACCTGGCAGAGCTGATCGGCACATTCTTTCAACACCTTCCTGTGTATGTTGTCTGGGCCAGTTGCTTTGTGAGGATTGAAAGTACTCCTCACTTCGGCTGAAGTAACGCTGAGAAGCTCTTCATCCGGTGGTGAGGTGAGTCTGGTGCTGGTCTGGGTCTTCAAAGCATGCATAGAACTTGTTGAGGGCATCAGGCAGTGATGGGTCTCTAGGACATTGTTCACTTCTGCCTTTATAATCTGTTATACACTTAATGCCCCTCCACATGCTTCGTGGGTCTTGTGAGATGACTTGACCCTGGATCCTCTGGTCATACATGGCCTTGGCCCTCTTAATGCCAGCAACCAGCTCTTTCCTTGTCCTTCTCAACTCCTGTGAGTTTTCAAACCTGAAGGCAGTGTTCCTGGCTTCCAGCAGGGTGTAAACCTCTGCATTCAGCCAATACTTCTTGTTTGAGTAACTCTTAAGCCCCCAGTATACTCCCGCGTACGTACGCATGAACGGACGTACGCGTGTACTGTACGCAGAGGGTTCAGACTTAAGACTCGAGCGTTCACTCTGAGCGGCTGCAGAGCAGATTCACAGACAAGGGGCGTTTACCTTCGGGACAAATTGAGTTCGCTGATTGGTCATTTGCTGACACACCTATTGGATTGATTGACAGGTCGGGAAAAAAATAAAACGAGCGCTGGCAGCCTCAGCCACAGCGGTGTTCTGTGTTTATATGTTGTTAATAAAAAGATCTAAAAAATAAAAATAAAAAACAGGGAGTGCTGGCCCTACAGCCCACACATCAGACCAGCCCACCAGGAAATCTCCAGACCCTCCCACAGCCACGTTGGACCTGAGTTTAATTTGCTCATGACAAATTCCTTCATTTCTCACTATTTTAGTCATGGCATCAACAAAAGAGGAAGAGATCACTGCCTCTTGGCAAAAAAAAAAAAAAAAGAAAAGGCTAGATTAGGGATGAAGAAAGGAAATTTAATACATTGGTGTCGCATACAAAACAGTCCATCGCCGGGCAGTTTATTGTGCGACACCACCTACACATATGCAGTTGTAAAAATTGAGCTTTGCACAGACATGCCCTGGGGGGTACGCTCGTACCTCCGCATATGGACGTACGCGGGAGTATACTGGGAGCTTTAACATATCTGATGGTGGTGACGTCATCATCAATGTGGACCCTCACCAGTATGCATACCGCGAGAATAGATCAACAGAAGATGCCATCTCCTCTGTGGTCCACACTGCTCTCACCCACTTGGAGCAGAAGGACTCCTACATCTGTATGCTCTTTGTGGACTTCACATCTGCCTTCAACACCATGATTCCCCAGACCTTGATGGACAAACTAATCACACTAGGACACAAGCCTCCAGTATACTGCCGCTTATGTCCGTTCACGCGTACGTACACGTGTACTGTACACAGAGGGTTCAGTCTTCATACTCCAGCGTACACCCCGAGCAACTGCAGAGCAGCTTCACAGACAAGGGGCGTTTACCATCGGGACAAATTGAGGTAGCCGAATGGTCATTTGCTGACACGCCTACTGGATTGATTGACAGGTCGGGGAAAAAATAAAACGAGTGCTGGCAGCCTCAGCCACAGCGGTGTTCTGTGTTTATATGTTGTTAATAAAAAGATCTTAAAAAAAAAAAAACCGGGAGCGCTGGCTCTGCAGCCCACACATCAGACCAGCCCACCAGGAAATCTCCAGACCCTCCTGCAGCCATGCTGGACCTGAGTTTAATTCGCTCGTGAAAAATTCCTTCATTTCTCACCATTTCAGTCATGGCATCAACGGAGGAGGAAGAGATCACTGCCTCTTGGCATAAACAACAACAGAAAAGGCCAGATCAGAGATGAAGAAGGGAAATTTAATACATTGGTGTCTCATACAAAACAGTCTGTCGCTGGGCAGTTTATTGTGCGACACCGCGTACGCGGTCGTAAAAATTTGAGCTTTGCACGGACATTCCCTGGGGGGTACGCTCGTACCTCTGCGTACGTATGTGCGTACCTCTGCGTATGGATGCACGCGGCAGTACACTGGGGGCTTAAGTCCCTCTCTATGCAACTGGGTCCTAGCCTTCTTAACCAAGAGACCACAATCTGTGAAGATCCATGACTTCTTCTCCTCCGCCATAACCCTCAGCACTGACTCCCCCAAGGACTGTGTGTTGAGTCCTCTCCTGTTCACTGCTAACGTATGATTGTGCAGCTACCCATTTGCAGATGATACAGCGGTGGTTGGATGCATCAAAAACAATAATGAGTGGCAGGAGGTTGAACACCTGGAGAGCTGGTGCAGGAAGAACAACTTTCACATCAATGTGAAGAAGACGAAGAAGATGGTTGTGGACTTCAGAAGGAATAAACACACCTACCTCCCTGAACATAAGAGGATCTGCGGTGAAAGTGGTCTCCAGCTACAAGTACTTGGGTGTACACATGAACAACAACCTCAGCTGGAGCAACAACACCACCAGCCTGATGAAGAAAGCTCATCAGAGACTCTACTTCCTCAGACGGCTGAGACGAGCTGGTCTGGAAGCTCAGTCCTCACCTCCTTCTCCAGGTGTGCAGTGGAGAGCATCCTGTGCTCCAGCATCAACGTGTGGCATGGAGGCTGCACAGCTGCAGAAACAAAAGCTCTGCAGAGAGTGGTGAAGGCTGCACAGAAGATGTTGGAGTCAGTCTCCCCACATCACAGACATCTACACCTCCAGATGCAGGAAGAGGACCACCTGCATCATGAAGGACCCCACTCACCCAGCACACTCTTTTTGCCCCGCTCCCCTCAGGCAGAAGGTTGAGGAGCATTAAGTGTAGAACCACCAGGCTGAGGAACAGCTTCTACCCTGAGGCTGTTAGACTCATGAATCTCTAACCAGGAAAATTACTGTGAAAAAAAATCACTGTAATACCGCTTGATTGTTTATGCTGCTGACTATCCATGATGCTGATCTCATGCTGCTGATTTATTTCATGTTGCTGTGTTCATTCGTCCTCATCTGCTCACACAGACTCATGTTCGTGCTGCTGTTGTTTGGCACATTGTTTTGTACTAGTAGTGCTTAGTGTGTTCTTAGTTCATGTCTCGGATCTTACTGCTGTTTTTTTCTTTACAAGTTGTACTTCTGTTGGATGTAGCTGGGACCCTGTGTACATAGTTTCGTTCTACCTCATGTACCACATGTGATGTGAATGACAATTAAAAAAACCTTGAATCCTTGAACATAACCTTTTCTGCTCTTATTCTATTCCAGACCTCCATGGCTACCATGACCGACTCTTCAGACAGAGGAGGCCTCGCAGGACCATATTCGTTCACACAGCTGTTTCCATTACTTGGTGAACGAATCCATTCCACTTGATTAATGGGAGAATACTCAAACCACCATGCTCTCTAAAATAATTATTGAATCGTTTTCTTATGGAGGTCAAGTACATTTTTAACAACCCGTTAAATACACCAGAATTCAGGAAATGGCATCGACTTTATTCAAAATTTTCTGGGGGGGACCCCCCCCACACACACACACCAGTGTGCTGCCCCCCACCCCCACCACACACACACACACACACACACACACACACATTATAAATGCTTCTGACACCAGTGCTACTACTATATCGGTCCCCATTTCTCAGTTTCATCTTGATGACATGCTGTTTTTGGTTTCCGAGCTGGAAATGTCCCCAGATTTAATTTCAGAAATCTGGTCATCTTAATCTTGTGTGATCTGTTAGTGCTCTTTGAGGATCACTCTCAGTTACCACCCCAACAAATTTCAACTCAATATTTGTGAAACTGACGGAGTTATATTGTTTTTGTGTTGGATAAGTTTGTTCAGCTGTAGCGGCCATCTTGAACGGAGCTGACTCCAAATGGATGTAGAGTCAACTATTAGTTTTTGAGCTTTTTATAACAATCTTTCCAGTGGGTCCTGATATATTTTGCTAACACGGGCCTTTGCTCAGGTTCCGTCTCATTTCTCGTGCTCTCTCGGCTCAGTCGTGTCTGTTTCCTCCCACAACTATTTATTGTTTCCAGTGCAGCTTTATGTTTTTGCTCCATGTTCAGTCCAACACATGGCAGTCAGAATTTATTGAGCTACAGCCAATCAGCGCGCTCCTCTTAGGGCGAGCCTCCGCATCGCTCGACCAATCAGAGACGCGGATTGGGACCCATGCCTCCGAGTTGTGCAGCGAGGGGGGTCACGTGACGCAGGGAGCAGGAATGCCAACATGGACCCGTGGCGAGGACGGGATGTGAGCGCGAGGCGACAATAACACGACGGCGGCGAGGAAAGACACAAAAACACCAAGAACCGTCGACGGCGTGGCGTCCCCCCGCCGAGCCCCCGCCTGGAAACACACGGTAGGTCGAGTTAAGTCTCCGGGCTCGTCCTCTCGGCTCTGCAGGAGGGACCGAGTAAAAATAGAGCGTTGTTTTTTCTTTCTGACCCGGGCGAACTTGAAACTCGTGGATTCGTCGGCAGGCTGCCGTGATGCCGCCGTGATGCCGCCGTGATGCCGCCGTGATGCCGCCCGCCGTCCAGCACAGCTGCGGCTCGTGTGTCGCCATGATGGCTGCGGGCCGTGTTTACAGGCCGCTGGCCGCGACATGTGCCCGCTGACAGCAGCCATAAACACGGAGCGGCCCCACGGCCTCATCACGCGCTTTAACCGTGCCCGAGCAGCGACCTCACCTCTCAAGTATTTGAGCAACAAGAGTGGAGCAGCTGAAGCTTCCGGTTTGGTTTGAGGTTAAACCCCCCCCAGCTCCACAACATCACGGTAGAGGTGCAGCTCCCACCCGCAGCTGCTTCAGAGGAGTTGAGTCCTGCAGCATCCACCTCTGCTCAGAGGAGTTTGAAAGCTGAACGCTTCTCTGGACTGTGGCGGCCATCTTGGATCAGTGAGGCCCTTTGCACCTGAACCTCTGGAAACCTTCATGTTCTCTGCTTGTGGTGGCAAATCAACAACAAGTACAGAAATTGTATTTGCTGCTAAAATGCATTAAAAGTGGTAATTGCTCAGACATTTAGCTGAAAATGAGCACAAATGATGCAATAAGTGAAAATACTGGGTGCATTTGAACAGCTTAGGATTTGACCGTCCATCCAGCCACGATCTTTTACCCACGTCTTCCTTTTTGTATCGCGGGGGTCACTGGTGCCCATTTCCAGCCGTCACTGTGCAGAGGCAGGGGACACCCAAGTCCATCACTATAAATGAAAACGTGCTAAAGAAGCTGAAACTAAGCTGAAAGCTAAAATGGCTAAAAAGTGACGTATTAAAAGCCGAAGGCAGCAACATGATTGAAGGATTGGGGCATCTTTTCACTAAGTGACAAAGGAAGTGAAATGTTAGAAGAAAGCCTAAAATGGCTAGCTACAAGTCAAAAGAAGCCAAATATTAGCAACAAATAGGAACGGGCTAGCTTACAGCCAGAAGTAGTGAAACGCTAGCAAATTACAAGCAAATGCTAGTTTAGAACCAGAAGTAGGGAATTGCTGGAACATGCTAGCTTTTAGCTAGAAGAAGCAAAATCTTGGCACAATGCTGACGGAGATAGAAGTGGCAACATGAGGAAAATGCTAGTATTTAGCAGGAAGTAGCAGGAACATGCTAGTTTAGAGCCAGTAGTACACTGCTGTCAAAATGCAGGCAAACCGCTGACATTCAGGAAAATAGAGGTGACTGGCACAAAAAAGGCAGAACTGTTTGGTAAAAGCTAAATGGAGCTGAGAAAAGTAGCAGAAACTGGAGTAAGCAGGAAGAGACTGAACAGGACGCATCTGGAAAAGGCAGAAATATTCTGAGAGGAACGGAACAGAGCTGTAATAAATCTAAAGAAGCACGACTTTAACTGGCCGGTGACTCTGAACATTTAACCTTTGACCCTGAAACCACTGGGGTCATACTTGACCCCCACGAGGTGTGTAGCTGTCCAGTTTGACATGTCTGTGCCAGAGAATCAGTGTAGAGCTTGTTAAACAACAGGGTGACCTTTGACCCTGACCTTTGGTCTTGAGAGAGACCCTAAAAAAGATCAATGACCCATGAGCCGTCCATCTGTGAACTTTGACATTTGTCTCCAACACATTTATTTGTTTAGGGCTCTAGAAAGGAAAGGGTGACCTTTGACCCTGGCCCTTGACCCTGAAGCCAATAGGGATCATCACTGACCCGAGGTGTGTCCTGCTGGGACGTTTGACCTTTCTACGTGAAATGTTTATCAAGTTAGAGATATTTCAAGAAAATTGTGACCTTTGACCCTGACCCTTGAATCATTTACCCACTTCTTCCTTTTCGTGTCAAGAGGTCACTGGTGCCCATGTCCAGCAGTCACTGTGTGAGAGGTGGGGGACACCCTGGACAGGTGTCCAGTCCATCACAGGGACACAGACAAACAACCATTCACTCTCTCACTCACAGGGACAAATTAGAGTCACCATCAGTCTAACATGCATGTTTTTGGTCTGTGGGAGGAAACTGGAGTACCTGGAGAAAACACACGCAGCACGGAGAGAACATGCAAACTCCACCCAGAAAGACCCCTGGACCGGGGTTTGAACCAGGGACCTGCTCACTGAGAGGCAGCAGCTCTACCAACTGAGCCACCGTGCCGCCCACCCTGTAACCCATGACCCTAAAATCGATGAGACTCATTGTTGACCCATGAGGCGTCCAGCTGTGAACTTTGACCTTTCTTTGTTGTGTGGTTCTGGATTTTAGAGCTCAGACAGAAGGTGTTATCTTTGGTGGCCATCTTGAATTTTTAGTCTTTAATATGTGCTGGGGAGCCCTGGCAGGATCTACCCCCACTCCAAATCTGAGCTCAGCCTGTCTAAAACCAAGGAAGTTAAAACCGAAAGAACCTGAGCGTAGCAGAAAAGAGCTGAAATTATCAGAAAAGAGCTGAAATTAACAGAAAG